AATTTAATCCATTTTACTCACAACTCCCATCGGAAACAAGCTGCTCGTATGGAACTCAAGCTTTTCAACTTTTTGTGGGACATGAATTCTCCTTGCAACGGCCCAGCACGGACTCGATTGCCAATAGGTGAGTGTAAAGAATCCGTTTTTGATATGTATATGTGTAAGACTATGGGGCCCGAGAAGTATGTTCGTGTGGAGCAATATTCTCCTTGGATCAACCGAGAAGGTGACATTGAACGGACTCGTCACATCATTTACGAATTCAATTATCCAAACTTTCCTTCTTTCGGGGATGGGACTTGGGCAAAGAATTATATGAGTGTCGACCAAAAGCATGTAATTGACAGCCTTAGAAAGAGATTCAACAGGCCCATTCGCTCAGAACTTGAAACTGTTCAATATCGTTGCATTGCATCCAAGTTGATCATTTCCTACGACACCTCATTCGAATTATATTATGCACACCTCAGTCATTGGGTACAGTCAAAGAATGGAGATTGTTGGATTGAAAGTTTTTGATTTCATTCATCATTGCTAGGACATCCTTTCCGTTTCTTGTGTGACATTGTTGCAGTTACTCTCCCAGCGAAGGCATTGGTGTCTGTATCTTTGGAAGTTTGCTTCTTCCTGTTCTCCTTGTCATTTTCTTGGATCTTTTGAATCATCATGTTCAAATTATCACGATCCGTAATTATGGTTGGGTCCACTAAAGAAGCATCATACCATTGATACAATTCCTTTTGTGGTTTGACATGACTTGCATCCCAAGAATAAAGCTTTTTTAAACGTTTTTCATGCCAATATGTTTCTCCTGTTTTTTCCTTCAAGTCAATTGCGACTAATACCTTTCGCCATTGCCACAATAGCAATTGTTTGGTTGGGTGTATTTGAGTACGACCTCCTCCATTGTTAATAATTCGATTAAACACTGCATGGTGAAATAAATGAGACCGTTCGAATCCCTGATTACTCAAAATCGAGAGTGATAATTTTTCTTTGAAAAGAGAGCTCATTATTGAGGGTACATGAATTATAAAATGGAAATAATGAGCTTTAATTCCTTGAGTCCATATTGAAAAACACGCAACTAAGAATTGCATTATCAGTTTGTCCAATTCCACAATCTTATTTGCTGTCAATACATTGTCATTATTTTCGTTATCTTGATGCATTTCAATAATAATGATAATATTTCGCAACAATTTCAGAATTTGTAAATATTTTTGTTTGGTGCTTGGTTCAATATTATCAACAACTTTCTCAATATTTTGTAAAATAGTGTTACAATGATCTCCCGACAGCATACATGACTTGATTGATGATCGTGCTGAGGTTTGAGAAATTCCATAATTCGATACTCGTTCGTGGAACTCTTTCCAATTAAATGTTTCCAATCCATGTAATGTTTGTATATTTTTCTGAATCTCATATTTGTAAGTTGTTGATGCCATATAACCAATAACATTTTCTACTAGCCTCTGTTTGATATGAAGAGCACATAGTATTGTTTGTGGTGGAGAAAAAGGTAACTGGCCGTCAAGAGAGTCGCGTGGAGTTGATGCAAAATCTACAATAGTTTGAGCCATACAATAGGGACATAAATCAAATGAGAACGTCATGCCTACATTATGCATGTCTGAAACATAAAAAAGACAAACTTGATGCTTCCCAAAATATTGTTTTTGCAAAACACGCTCAATCTCATCGTGAAGCGTTCCAATTGTTTCTTTGATACTTTCTTTTGTTTCCTTCATCTGAAATAACCCAATATAAAACACAGAATAAACAGCCTGCGATGGAAATACATCTCTTAAATTGAGTGGAACCAATGCAACTGCAACTTGTTTAACTCCATTAATTTCTCTACCATCTACCCCAATTTTAAAAAATATTTTCTTGGGTAATTTTTTCCCTAATGACATACATAGCTTCAGAATATAAAATATGGCTTGATCTAAGTCTATAATATATCCAATGTAGTTTGAACTTGGACATCGTAATTTGAAAGTTTTCTCAACTTGTTCATTTAGTGATTGTTTCGATGTTGTCATCTCTTTCCTTGTCGGGAGTAATGTCATTAAATTGACTTCTTTTCGAAGTTATGATATGTAACATCAGAAATCAAGTTATTATCTCGCCAATATTGCACAATAGTTACATCTTTCTTTTCAATTAGATATTCTTTCAGTTTTTGATAACGATGGCTGTATCTAATATTTTGCTCTAATTCTTGGATTACTGTTTTAATACCTTCATCAGTTTGAAGATAACATTCCAGCCATGCATGTACATCATGTCCTAAATTACCTAACATTTTCTCAAATATAGACACTATTTCTTTTGCTCGATCTTTCGCTCCACGGTTGTAATTGTCTTGATTTGATTGAATACCAGGGTATTTGTGAGGACATGCTTGGACTTTTTGGTGTTTACAACAAGCACATTCCCAATATTTCAATTCTACTTGTTGATCATTATCAGATTGTGCTTGAGAATGGTTGAATGAGTCACATGTATTGGATTGTAAAGCGGTATCAGTTGTATAACAATTTTTCCATTGTTCAATATTATATTGTTGAGAGCAAATTGGTTGTGTTGGGAATTGTTGAGGCTGTGATTGCTGTTGAGGCTTGAAATAGTTCCAAAGTGCAAATTGGGACAAATATGTCTCACAAGTCTGGTCTGCCAAAATGAATGGTTCGACATACTTAAGCCCAGAATATTGTATACAATTGAGAAGCGTTCCATTGATCGTTCCACTGTTGAGAAAGGTTAGGATTAGTGTTTGCTTTTTCCATGCTATCTACTGTTTGAGAGTAATCTTGTGAGGTTGTATTAAGTTCATGTTGCTGACTTGCATCATTAATTATATCAGAAGCTTCTACTATAATATTATTTTCATAAATATCATCATCATTTTCATTAGAGTTCTCGTCAACAAAATAGGATGCAGCATCAGCAACCAATTGATTGAAAGCTTCATCTTGGTCCTCGACTTGAGGCTGATTGAAAATTTCTTCCATTGAATTATCAAATAATTCATCGTCATCCATACGTGTATCATAGTGATCACTGTTGTGATTGGGATGCGTTTGGAACAGGTGTTGAATTAATAAATCATGATGATCTTTCTTCGACAACTTTAACAGAGTTCCAATAACGGCTGCCAAGCTTAACAAAATTGCGGACTTTTTTACCTTTGGAAACCCAATCTCTTGCTGTTGGCAATTATTGATCGTGATGTGTTTGCCATAGCTTCTTTCGATAATATTGCAGATTTTTTGATTTTTCTCCTTTTTAAAGAACGATCCAACAATTTCATCGGCAGAATAATATTGATCGCCTTCGTATTGATAGGTATGTAAAGAATGAAGTGCAGGAAGGTGTTCTTGAATCTCTAAAGTTTTACCCATCACGATGAATTTTAATAATTTTTAATATATAAATGATGATGAACTCTACACGAATTCTAGGAAGCCAATTTTTGTAATATTGTCAACAACATGGCTGTAATATAACAATTCCGAAGTGTGATTCAAAAAGGAAATTACATGACGTGTTTTCGTTTTAGTTGAAGCATAAACTACAGTTTGATCAGGTAGTTAACATTACCCATTTTTTTGTCGAGTATGAAATCTTAATACTCGAAGCCCGGAAGTTTGTTTCGCTGGCAGTTTTGCTATGATCATGATCCTATGGATATCCGTTATGGATGACGATACCTTGGGATCAAACATGTCCTTTTCACATTTTTGAGCAAAATGCATTCATTTCGAGACCGCTGCGACTCTTCATCCCTCAAAGCGAATAAACTTCAATGGCTCGTCATAACTCTTGCCGAGATCAGCTCTAACACCTATCAATGGTTAATGTAGAATATTTGGTAATGTATGGAAATTCAACATAATTAGCATGGTGCTAAAGCTCAACATTACATTGTATCAAGCTTGTTCTTGGAAGGGCAAGTTTGGTAAATTGTACAATGCTCAATTTGATATCGCTTTTCAAAAATAACATGTTGGTAACATGGTTCCGTTGTATTGTTCGTTACAGAGAGTGGCCTTATGAATGGCCAGATTACGCATGAATTCAATTTTGATGTGAACAACATAAAATTGGAAAACATACTAACACACAATACTAATGCATGTTTTGAAAGAGCCACTCGATATATAAAGGTTATGCACAGACCATATTGAGCTGTTTCAATCTTGTTCTGCGGCATGTGGCTCTTGAACTTGATCTGTGATGTGCTTAGGGTGAGCCGTTTTGTGTTGGTGACTGTAGTTACTTTCAGTACTTTCCTCGTTGTGATGATCGAAGGAAGAGGTTGAATAATGATTATCAAATACATGCTGATGTGAGGAAGTATTTGAGGCGTCACTGATCTTTCTTACTGCATGTATGGTTTCATGATGACCATGATGATAAAACGCGCTCGTATCATGAATTTCTTTTTTTCTCCTGTGACATATTCCACAGAAAGCATTCGCAAATAGAGTATTGTAGAATTGCTTGATGCAGAACCAATCTGAAAGGAAATAAAATCGATTGCAATACGAGAGTAAAATAAAAAAGTGTGTAATGACCCATGGATAAACTGTCATAAATCGATCTCCAATATTATTAAATGTAAATAAAAAATAGGGATATGAAACTATAAAATAGATCGTGTAGAATGTGAAGTAGAGATAGGTGAGACTTTCAAAAATTAAATATTTTGTGAACTATAATTACAAAACATGACGCTCATGAAACAAAGAGTCTGACCGTCACACACTACTTACTTTGAATTGAAAAAATCGAATCTCCTTATTCTCCCTTAACACTCTAAAATAGACCTTAATACCATAAATGACTAGTAATGGGAAAATAGTAATAAAGTAAAGAAATAGAACCACCATCATGATATATCTTGCAAGTAGGACTCTTGAGTACCCTGTTACAAATATCACAGTCAATATGTATCCAATGAATAAAAATAGGGTACACATGAAAACGAACAGACTCAAAATTTTGATATTGTTACTTGTGTTAGTGCTGGTGTTGTGCGTGATAGAGTCCTTATTCTCCATTGTTCTCAATACAACAAGCCACTGAAATACAATTGGTATCAATCCCATCAATGAAAGAATGCAGTCGATACTGATCAGCACCAATCTTGCATCGTAGGGCAATATGGATATCAAGCTAATGAATCCAAGCAACAAGTTGCATATAGAGATTAAGGTTGCAATAATTCTGAAATCAGATATTGATTTGATTATGGAGATTAATGCTTGCTTCAGACGACTAATCTTTGTTTTCTTACTATACACCTTTTCGCTCACGAGAGAAACGTGTGACAAGTTGTCATCAGTTTCATGCTTGTCATGAGTGCTGTAGTATAGTGCTCGTGAATGGCTTTGTAAACCAGTTTCTTCATTGGGAGAAGAGGGAATGGGATCTGTATGTTGAGGATTTGGTTGAGGTGGTGATGATGATGATGTATTGGCTGTATGGGATTGTGATGGATCCGAATGAAGATGTGAATTCAAGAGAAGAGAGTCTGACAAGGATGAAAGTCCTCTTGATCGAGTTCGAATTCGATTGCCATAGGACTTCTTGACGACATATTTTCGAATATTCGAAGAGTCCAGTCTGAACGAGGTTTCCATGGCTGGAGGATGGCCACTAGTGTTGTCACTGCCATGTGCATCTGCACTATGTTCATCGATGCTACAATTCGAATCGTCTGTGAGAGAGTCTGTGTTGTTATGAAGGGCAGCCTGGTGGTCATAATCCGTTTCTGTTTCCTGATTATGAAAGCATTGTTTTCGTCTTGCAAGCTCTTTAGCAAGTTTAAGCTTTTGACTACTATGCCATCCCATGACATGCTTAAATTCGAGAGGTAGCAACACCATCAGTATAATGACAATCAATTCAATAATATATAGAGTAATAAAGATTGATCGAATTCCGTTTTGAAAATCATTGAGATGTGGTTGGATGAGTTTCTTGCCGTGGTGGTAAATGGATCGAAACACGGCCATGATGATCGTGATGATGGTAGGAAGAATACAGAGACAAGATCGTGATGATGCTTCCTCATGCCGATGTTGCTGTTGGAGGAAAGGGAAAGTTATTTTTTTTGTAACATCAAGCTCGCGAAGAAATTTCGCGTTGTGGGCTGAAAGTTGATGATCTTGAAGGAATGATATTATTCAGAGGAGCTTGTTGATCCTCAATGATTTCCAAATTCAATTCTGTTGGCATGTGAGTACGCTTTCCAAATCCTTTGTCATGATGCACAAAAGAAAATACTCGCGTGAGACAATGATGAAATCCCGTTTTCTACTATCATGAACATTATGTTTAATTCACACAATACAACTAGGGTTGAAATGGGTATTGATTCTCAAACACATCAATATCTTCAGAATGCGCCAACAGAGGATCAAAAAATCCATCTCCATAATAAGGTTGATTCATATTGGATCCCATTGGATGATTATTTGAGGTTGCATTTAATCCCATTGCATGTTGTGTCGATGACGAGTAATAATAGGATGGGTGATTTTGTGGCAAACCCAGAAAACTATGTGGTGACATGTATGGCACATGATGATGTTGTGGTTGTGGTTGTTGGAAGGATCCAGAACTCGTCGTCGTTGCAGAACTCGAACAAGATGAAGAACCTCCTCCTGTTGTGTTCGTTCCTTGGCTCGTTGGTGTTAAAGCTTTTGGTCCTCCATGATTATTATTCGTCGTCATGGTCGGTGAAGGATGTTGATTTTGCATGGAACTAATTTCAGCCAACAGTAATTCCAAATCAGATAAAGATTCCACATTGGCCTCTCGTAATTTTCGTTCTAAATATTGAGTGCCGTCACGAGGTGAAGCGGAATGAGTGGCCGTTCCTTCAAATGCATCCTCTATTCGATTATTAAATTTCAATAAAAAGTCTCTCATTTCATTGTAAAACGTTCCCACTCGATTCATCTTCTTTTCTTGAGCTGTATTGAAAACTCCAGAATCATAGAAGGAGGAAGAATGGAAGGATGATGACAATGGTTGATTCATTAAATGACTTGCTCCAAAAAGTTGTGAAATTTGTTCCGAATACTCGTGATTCCTTCGACTCAGAAATTCTTCGAGTTCTTTGGTGTGTGGAGCGACGTATCGATAGCGTTTGCTTAATACTTGGAGAGCTCTTAAATCTTTGGCAACCACAGCATAGTAATCAATTAATTCATTCTCGTGATATTGTTTCACAATATTTGGAATGGTAATTCGTTCTTTTTTGATAATGACAGGTCGTAAATTTTCTCTCTCTCCACGATCGATCATTTTACAAATTTCCAAATTCGTTCTCACTGCCACCAAAATGAAAGATATTAAGTAAGGACTCACAAAAACGAATAATTCATCTTCAGTAATTTTGCTAATGGCCAATGCTGAGCTTTCCAATAATTGAATATGCTCTGGATTATTTTCTGTAGCACATGCAATGTTACATCCAGCCAACAATAAGAATAAAATTCTCAATCCATTCATGAGTAATAAATAATTCAAATGATGAATCTTCACAGAGAATTCTGACTTGAATGTGGGTTTCACGGAATAGTGCAGCAATGAGACAAATACTTCAAAAGTTTTCAACATTTCATCAATATCGTCTCGTGAAATGTGTTGACGTTTGAAAAATTCTTTGAGTTTGGGTGGCAATGAGGAACCTAATAAATCGAGAGAAATCTTTTCAAACGTTGCAATATCTGGAACTGGATGAGTTTCACAAGAAATTAATTCGACCACCATTTGTTGAACTCGAAGATTTGAAATGCTTAATGAAATTCCGTGAGCGTGTGACTCTACAAATGGAGATTCTGTTGTGACCACAGTGACCATGTTTTTTTGTTTCCAATTTGCAATGAATTGATCTGTGAGATGAAGATATCCTCTTGCTTTGGAGGGCTTTCCAATAGTAGCATTAAATAATGCAATGATACTGTACGTAACAGCCGCGAATGGATTGTCAAAGTCATCAAAATAATGCATGATGATATTTCGCGACTTGTTAAAAGATTCCTCTGTTACGTAAATTTCAAAGTGAATACAACACGAAAGGTTAAATGATAAATCGTTATCATAAAAAATAATCCTTCTACTTACCTGCAAGATCTGCAAATCCAAAAACCATTTCTACCGATCCCTGAATGGCCAGCATTAATGCCAACACATCTCTTCTTCTTAATAATTCTTGTGAACCTGTCAGTAATAATTTTGTTAAATCTTCTTGTCGAATGGGTGGACTTCCATTACATACAATCAAACAATAGGCTTCAATGGTATTTTGTTTGATTGATTGAATTGCTATTCGTGCACTTTCGTCTAGATCTTGAGTAGCTGAATTGAATATAGAAATGACATCGATGGATTTCTTTGAGATATTTTCAGAGGCGTTATTCGTTGTGTTGGCATTTGACGTGTTGGCAGTTAAATTCATCAAACCAGCTTTTTTAAAGACTGGTTCTTTATATTCGCAATGAATTCCCTTTGTTGAACATCGAGTACAAGTGGGTAGTTTTTTGTCTAAATGGGCAGATAGTATAAAGATTTACAAATTTGGAAAGAGTTATCATATTTCAGAAAAAAGTTGTTGAACTGCATGAGATCATGAATTTTGTGAACATTGAGCAACAAATTGAAATCCATAAAATATTGTTGCATGAAAAAAACTTACCATACCACATCGTTTGTGAACTTTTCTACAAGCTAAACATGCAATAGGATGAGTGAGAGGAGCATTGGTCGTTGTTGTTGTGGACTGTTGTGCACCAGTTCCCGAATTATCTTCGCTTGGTTTTTGCTGCTGAGTGTCAGATGTCAAACTGCCATTCGATGGCACGACATTTTTCGAACCAGAACCAACAGTGGTGAAGCACCCACAAGCGTAGAATTGGAATTTGTATTAAATTGATTCGAAGAACTTGTCACACTGTTCATTCCCAATAGTGCGCTCGCATTAGTATTATTCATGATCGTATTTAAAAGATAGTTATTCGTTGGATTCGCCAACGACGAATTTGCATACACATTGTTCATCATGGCGTTTCCAAGTTCATTGGTGTTGGCAGTTGACAAGTGATGTTGTTGTTGGGAGGTCATGACATTGAACGTGTGATTATTGTTACTACCACCATTTGTCGTTGTCGTAGATGATGATGAAGGCAACACAACATTTGGTTGATTTCGAACAAGTAAAGAATTCAACTCTCCATTCCGCATCAACAATTCCAATAAATTTAAAGTTTCCTGATTCGACAGCATGGTTGAAATGGTTGGATTTTGATCCATTGTAGAGTTGCGATTAATTTCCATTGAAGTTATAGGAATGGTTGTGTTCGGAGGAGGATGAGAAGAAGTAAATGAAACATTTTGAAAAGATGATGAATTTCCAGAAGACGGAATGGAATGATTGATATTCGTTGTTGTTGCAGGAATATTGGAATGATTGGAAGTCGACGATCGAAAGGCTGATGATGATGAAGGAAGATGATTCATTTTTTGATGTTGAAAAGAATCGGTGCTTGACGGGACAACTTGTCAGAACCAACGGTCAATAAGAGAGAGATAATGCGGGTGTGGAATTGGAAATGGTCAACGAATCGTGTGGACGGTGGCACAATGAAAAAGTGAATTTGTTTTTTTTGTGAAAAAATGCTCGAGAAAATTTGGAAAGAGATGGTTTTGAGAATTAGTTGCTAGTTACTGCATTCATTTCTAATTGTGGAAAGTTGAAGAATGAAAAAAAGATTTTGATAGCGAATCGTATTGAATGGATTTGTTTGAATCAACACGAGTGAGAATGAGATGGTGTGTCATGGAATTATCTCACAACACATTGGAAGGTCCACAAGACGAGTGATGGAAGGGTCATTGTTAAATCAAGTTAAAAAGAACGATCATGAGAATGTGAAACGTCCCAAAGTCTTTGACTTTACGTAATACGTTCGTCATTGTGGGGAAATGCAAAGTTGTAGATTCAAAAATTAAACATTACGTATTTATATTTCAAAATGATTTTTCAAATTCTTGAGAGCTCATTCAAACATCATTGGTACTGCTTGTGGTTTGCAATGTATCATCTTCAGATTTGAGGTGATCCTTGAAGTGACCTTACGTCGAATTCCAAAGAAATTTTCACTCTCAAATCGTCATTCCATACTTTTCAAACCAAATTATTACCTCATGAACTTTTTGTGCTCTATGTGATACTTGTCGTAATATATATTTTGGATGTTGTTGTCCACTAGCAAAAATACATCTATTGTTCTTGATACTGAGCCAATTTCTTCTCCAATAAGGCTTTTACTTTCTTTTCAGTATCAGATTCTCCCGATGGATAGAATTGATATAATCGTGCTTCTCCGATCATGTATTCATCCAATGGCATAATGACAGCACCAGTTGGAATCAAGTAAATCACCACATTTCCATAAGTTTCAATGGGTGAAAGGACGACTTGATAACCAGCTTTTCTGCACCGATCCACCAAGCCAGAGATTTTCGAGCTCGAGTGAACCGGTGGGCTTCCTCAGCATGCAGTGAGTCCGTAACATAACAGAACGGTTGGTTTTTCTGCAATGGATGGTTGGGCTTTGTGACTTTTGAACATTTTTTCTATCTAATGTTTAGTGGAGTTTGGATGGTTCAATGATGAAAACCGAACGAAGGAGAGATGCGGTCTGAAAATGGGCTTTATGTAACGCCGGTTTTTAATTTCGCCGATGTTTTTTGGAATGAGAACGACACAACTAATTTTCTACTGTCATATGCCATGAAAATGTTGATCTTCACCATTCATTTGCCAAACTCAGTGGGATCTGTTTACGCGTTTAGTTATTCATTCTGAATGCACCTAAATTCTGTAACTCCATGCATAACGAAATGAAGATGGAATCGGTATTCAAAGCAGTGGAATCTATTTCACTTCTTCGTTTTCTGATTTGTAACAACTTGGACGCAATATGTTGTTCATAAGCTGCTCATCATTAAGGGAATTCCTTTTCCAAAAAAGCTTAATATTCCACACTTACCATTTGAATCTTTCAGATATTTTCTCAACATGTACATTCTTAATTCGCATCGCTCTCCTTGAACTGTTGACCTGTAAGGTATTGTTTGTTTGTAAAAACATAGAAACATGTTTGAAACCTTTTGATACACATTCTCACATAACAGGACCTCGTTTTGGCCACAATGTTCCAACAACACTTCACAAACAGCTACTGTGTCTCCAAAGCAAGAAAAACATATCCTAGAGATTGTGGATCCAGTGAAACCTAAATCTATCAAACCTGATGCAAGGACCACCTTAAAGAAAAGATTGATATTGGAACAGTGATATTCTTTTTTCACCATCTCGATCTTATTCTCTACAATCTCCTTGATCTCTAAAGCTGCAGCTGTTGCTTTTGTTTCATGATTTTCCACCGGAGCAGTTGCATCATTCCACAACCCGTAAATTTTTAATCCGTTTTTTACAGACACCTCGAACACAAATCCTTCGTTGTATTGAACGGAAGAGGTCACTTCAGTGAGGATTTTGCTTAAAATTTGACTAAATGTCACATTTCCCACTATCTTTTGTAATTCCGTAAAATCGTTCAAATCCAGTACTACAATGCTCATAACTTGTCTTTTCACTGTTAACAATTCTGACTCCGAGTCATTGTTACCAAGAAAATATTTCACAACATGATCTGGAATGAATAGAGAAAAATATAAAAGTGCTTTTCTAAACGTCTCAACGGATAATTCCATTTGTTTTACATCTCGGAAAAGAGACGTTGCTTCAACTCCAACTGATCTTGTTCGGTCCAAACGTAAAATATTTGTCATTTTCTAAATGAAGTGTGTGATGGTTAAAATACAGTATTCTAAGGTAATTAATACTAACTTTTCCCAGTCGCTGCAAAGGATGTGTGATTGTTTTCAAAACAATCAACAACAGTACAACAGAAAGGCTTAATATCAAAATTAACATCACCCATGTCGTAACTCTGGTATTGACACTCGATATCAAAAATTGAACATGTTCAGTTAATATAATTAGTTTCACAACGATATTATTGGTTGGGACAAAGCTAATCGAGTAATAGTAAAAACCAATCATGCCTTTTCTTGTGTGTAGCTGAGTTACTTTTCCTTGTGAAGCAATATATAGTTCTTCCTCTTGCATTATACTGAAAATGGTTTGAAACAGTGTGTCATTATTGAAATCCAAGGGAAACGACTGAATGTTTGTAATGAAGGAACAAAGGAGGGAAACTTGCTTAGCTTTAAACATGCACCCCAAATATGATTCTTGTCATCTAGGACAATAATAGAGTGAGGTGTTTCTTTTGGCAACAAATTTGTCAAGTATTCATTCAAATCAGCAAGCCCATACTCCAAAGCTGCAACCCCAACAAACGCTCCGTTTTTAGGTTCTCGTATCAATAAGGAGACGAACGTGGAGAGATTACCGTTGTTGGGAGATTGAATAATATTACTCCAAATTGAATACTTTTGACCTAAGGGCAAGTGTATTTCATGAGTGGATGAGGAAAAGTTTAAAGATTTGGTAATCAATTGAAACCATTCCGCGTTTGTGACGTTCTTTAGATAAAAATCCTTGTGTTGACTTTCGCTTGAAATAATGATTCCTTCATCAGTTACTTTGTACATTAAATGAGAGGAGCGACATGTAGGAGCATAGGAAAGAGTAAGGGTGGCGTTAGGTCCATAACAAGGTACCATCACAACCGAGTTTCCTTGCTTTCGTTTTTCAAATACTGATACGCGATTTAATTTGTCTGCAAAATACATGTTCGTAATTTGAGAGTCCAAGACCCGTGCTACAGCCATGAGCCTGGCCCACGTGGTGTGGCATGTTGAATCAAGGCCAAATGCAAGAAAGTGGTTGTGAAAGGTTGTCGTCACTGCTTCCGAAGGTGACATGAATTGAGTGAGAGCGTTCAACACCTTCTCGTAGGCCTGCCCGTGAGCTGACTCTTCTGCATTTATGGTGATCTTTATGAAACAGTCATGATCGTCTTTTCTAAAACCTGATCACAACTTACCAATGTACCTTCACTGCTCAGAACTATAAACACAGTTCCAACGCTGATGAAGAATTGTAGAAGAAAAAAAACAACAAGAACGTTCATTATGGTCACCAAAGAGGATATTCGTGGTAACGGATGGCAAGCTCTTGATGCATAATTTTTCACCGGAGATAGAACCGTTTTCATTAAGCAATTGCAGTCTGGGTATGCTTTATGACGTTGATGATAAGGCTTGTTTTTTTCCTTAGTGTCGGACAAGGACGAAGATGAAGGAAGTTGATAGGATGCTTCAGCTTGCGAGCGGTTGTGTTGAACGAGTGAATGGAATGGATGATCATCGGAAGGGCTGTGTTGCTGCATGTGAGTTGTGGAGGGATTTTTTAGATTTTGACCAAAAAGTTTGCCAATTCTTCCTAAATAGTTCGTCATTTGTTACCGTGAAGGAAGGAAGGGAAGGAACGCTTCTAAATACCCCACATGATTCACCATACCCATAACTACTAGTATCTCAATTACTGCAAGTACCTGACTTCTCTCGATCTCTGTTTCTTGAGCTGAAAATTGGTCCAGTGAGTTCCATCACCTATCAAACCAAAAAAATTCGGCAAAGGACAGCCTGCATCATACCTATCAGGCTAAAGCCACGAGTTGATCTGCACTGACACATTATTCTTTGAGATCATCTCATCATCATCAACCACGATTCATCAACACCATGTTATCCTCGGCTTCCTCTTCCCGACCATTATCCATGACACCCTCGGCCAGCAAAGGCTCATCATCACTGCGATCCCATAACAACAACAACAACAAAAAACAACCCTTTTCCAATGTTTTTACGTTCTTTGATCATTCAAGACTTGATGGCTGGCAAAAGAAGAGCAAACAATATTATCATCCACAAGTATCACCTCTTCTTCTTCCACCGGGTGTAACTCCGTATGGAGTTTCATCATTGAATGGCAACCTATCGACAGGAGGATCATCCTCGAACAATAGCAACAAGAGCAAGAATTCTCTCGGTGGCACACAACCTTTGAATAATAATTTAATTTTGAACTCACCTCTCCTTCAGAATACTCCACTTGCCACTCTCTATACAAGTACCACAGCTATGGACTCTCAGCGATTGGACAAGACCAACATTTCAAGTGTTGCAGCAAGTAAGAATATTCTCTTCTTTTCAGATGATCACGGAAATATCCATACCATTGATACTCATAAAAAAGAGCATACGTGTGTTGTGGGTGTCTTCTCGAAAGCTGTCTTTTCGATTCGAGTGGTCACTCCAAAGAGCGGATCTGAATATAAGGGTGGATCGAGTGGAAAGCAATCAAGCAGTGCAGGTCAACATGAAGAACAAAAAGTTAAAAGCAACTATCTCATTGCCATTGGAAGCGACTACAACATGTCCATTCTTCAGACTCTGGTTGCCTCCACAGAGAACAATGACGATGGTGCTCACAACAATAATGCAAGCTCACAACAAAATGGAAACACATCATCAAGTGCTTTGAAAGATCTTACCATCCAGGAAGATGTAAAAATTAAAGTATTCGAATGGAAGGGAGCTTTCAAAATTTCTGATCTATTGACCATTCCAAAAGCCGAAATTACTCTTCCAAGATATGACAAGGAGGACAAACTCATTAATTCCATTGATCAATTTGAAGTTACCAGCGATTTGAAATATCTTGCAATTCCGAGAGGAAAATATGTTTACTTGTACAATGATGTTGGAAAGAGAAATACGAGTTCAAATCAATCGGGTGTTGTATCTGCATCAAAAACCTCAACTCAAACAGGATTCTTTAGTTTTACTTCGTCGAGTGACAGACGAGCACCGAGCATTCAAGCACTGCCATCGAACAGTCAAATTAATTCCCTCGGCTTCCTTTCAAATCAGGACAAACAAGGAAATTGGGTACTCTATGCCACTGATAAGAATGATGTATATAGATGGGATTTAGCTCGTTCTTTGGGATCAGGCTTTGTAAAAATCCCCTTCTCATCTTCATCACTTGTGTCGACAACAGCAAGTAATGCGTCAAACTCTGCTCAAGACTCCACATCAAACACAGGAGCCAATTTTGTTGGAAATTCTGATCCCATTGAATTTGGTTGTGCCTGTATTTCAAATCCATTTTATGCTTCATCGTTTTTAGAACATCAAGAGGCCAAGTATAATTCACAACGTTCGCTGCAAAATCAAAACCTTCTCTATGACACAACAATTGGAAAATATCATTCGGCATTTATTGTGTTGAAAGGTGATGAAATTCATGCTTTCAAATACAATCACAATCCAAATATTATAGTTTCCTCGAGCACTAGTTCTGGTGACAGTTCATCAAATGCCAATGATAAACTTGTAAAGCTTCCTCCATCACATACCACTCATCACAATCATAACATTATTCGTAGGAAATTATTCTGGTATCAAAATTATTTGGGCATGGTCCGAGTTGAAAATCATTCACCATTACCAATTTATGGCAACAATGTAACCAATAAGAAGGGAAATGTCATTCTCAACATGTATGACATTAATAATGCATACATTACATATGATTTCCGTACTCAAAATCTTCATATGGCAAACAATGTTCCACAAAATGGTGTTGCAAATCAACAGGGAAGTAATACGGTATCATCCATTGAGAAGAATAGAAAATATCAATTTATTGATGTGGTTCCAGTGTATCAACAAGGTGTTGATACTGGTACTATTTTCCTCATTGTCAAGAGAGAAGGTCCAATGGGTAAAGAGAGCGGAAGTGAAAATTACATTTATCAACTCAAAGAGAAACCTCCTCAAAGCAAATTAGAATTACTCATCAAGAAGTATCAATATCGTTATGCAATTGAACTCGCAAAAACAATTCAACAACTCGACTATGACGCCTTCAACTCTGAAACTCGTCGTAAATATGGTGACTATTTATTTCCCAAGGAAGATATCAACAAGCTGTTCGTCAATATATGCAAACCATTCCTTTGGTAGAACCTTCATATGTCATTAGAAAATTCCTTGACTCACAAAAGAATGCCTATCTGATTCAATATTTGTTAAAGCTTCATATAGAGCGAAAGAACAATCGTGATCACACAACACTGTTACTGAATTGTTTTATGAGATTGGATGATTTGAGTGAGGAACAAATACAACTCATGACTAATCCATCAGGTCTCAACATGTCCAACATGTCTTCTAAAGACAAAGATATGATAGGAATGGACATGTTACTGGATGATGATGATGGTCAAGAAGATGCAGAAATAGCTGAGGAAGAGTCCGAAGTGCAACTAATGAATCGATTTATGGAACTTGTAGAGATGAGAGACAAGTCAAAAATTTTTGAAGAATTTATTCATCCAAGGAATAGCAAACTATTGAACTATGATGTTGAAACTGCAATTAAAGTTCTCAGAGAGAATGGTTTCAGAGATGAAGCACTTAAACTCGCAGAAAGTAATGCTCCCCTATTTGCCAATAATCCAGAAAAACAGAAAATACTTAATGACTGGATTATTAGAATTTACATTGAAGACTTTGCAAAATGGAATGAAAATCCAAAATTACCAGAGCACAAATTGAATTACAAGAAGGCTCTCCGACACATTGAATCTCTCAACTTGGAGCAAGCAAAGGAATTTATGCGAAAATATGGAAGAAAATTGGTTGCTAACATTCCAGAGAGAGCAACCAACTTTTTGATCAGAATGTGTACCAACTATAGAGCAATTCCATCCAAGAAACAAGTCACGGGAGTAATTCCTCAAATATTTGAAGTTGCAGATAATATTGATGATAAGAGAAGAATATTCTTGACACAATCAGCATGTGAGGAGCTTCATATTACGGATCCTGATCTATTGAACATTTCGGTGAGCTCTTCATCTACGCAATTCGACCAGTCACCAGAGGATTACATTTTCTGTTACTCTGCCGATAAGGATCACACACAAAATCAATACTGGTTGATGGTTTTATTGGAGGTTGTCACCAGTTACCACAAAGATGTTCATTTCAATATGGACAAAGTGGTATACAATACTTTACTTGAACTTTATCTTTATTTCTGGTCCAAAGACAATACTGTAAATAATAGAAATATGGCCAGCGCTGATATCGATCATACTCCTGAGGAAGGTTTCAACATTACTAATGGTCAATATTATGAATATAAGGGAAGCCTTGATTCCAACACTCCAACTCCAACTTCACCTGCAGGACAAGGCGGCACTACATCCTCAGTGGATACTCCTAACAGTTTATTACTTCCAAAAATTGATGATGGAAACGATCATTACAAAGTATATCCTGTTCACTCCTCTGACATGACCACATCCTATAGACTTAAAATTATGGACATTTTATCCCAGAGATCTCACGGTGATGATAGCAAACCAAAATATGATCGGGAACATGCACTTGTACTTGTTCAATCTGCAAAATTCAGAGAAGGAATTTTATATCTGTACCAAGTTCTTGGTCTTCATTATGACATTATTCAGTATCATATGGATAAGGATGGAGTTGATCCTGATAGAAAATTCCAAGATATTCTTTCTCGATGTAGAGAGAAGGAATGTAAAGATGATCGAAATGTTTGGATACAAGCACTTTCATTTTATGCCAAAGGCCCTGGAAGTGAAGAACCAAATTCTGAGAAATATCTAACTTCTCTGTTAGAAGAAATCAAGGACAATGATGTCATACCACCTCTAATGGTTGTAGATATATTGTGTCAAAACAGCAAGATCAAACTCTCCACTATCAAACAATATCTTCAAAGTAAGCTGAAATCTGAACAAGAAAGTATCAAAGATCAAACATCCACCATTCGAGAGTTACAAAAAGAAACTCAAAAATTGAATTATGAAGTTGAGGAGTTAAGGACAAGTGCCAAAATTTTCCAACTCACCCAATGTTCACTCTGTAACTCTCAATTGGATTTACCTGCAGTTCACTTTATGTGTATGCACAGTTATCATCAACGATGTCTCGAGAAGGATGAATGCCCAAAGTGTGCCGAAAAGAACAAGTCTTATTTGAATGAAATGGAAGTTTTGAAACGAGCAAAGGAAGCTGGTGGACGATATGGTGCCTCAGGTGGCACTCTTAGCAAACAAGAACAACGTGATAATTTCTTCAAACGTCTTGCAACGAATGGTTTCAGTGTAGTTGCCAGAGAATTTGGTATGGGTACAATTAATAGTAGTTTGGCAAGTTTTGGAGGAGAGTTGAATCCTTACGACGATTTTGATGACAAGCTGTAGAATGCATAGTGTCCAGTTGTAAGTGTTGCAAGAAGGTCGAACGATTCCAATAAAAGAGAACAAACAACCAATTCAAAGCACACAGTAAAAAACTGTAATAAGATTTTTGAAAAAATGATTTCGTTCATGACCTCTTCATCATCATCTCTCTCGGAGAGAATAAAAAACGACAGGCAAAGCTTGCTCAATAACCCACTCTCCCTCATGACTCTTCTTCATGATGAATTCAAAACTATTTCTGATAAAGGAAAACAAATTGAAAAATTATTCCATCAAAAATTGCTTGATCCAAAGACCAGCGTTTTCGGAGATGTTTCTCACATGATTCAGTCTGCGAACACGCACGATACGAACAGCAACACTGATGAATCATCTTCCAAGATCATTAATCCAAACGAAATTGATATTGCTGCTAATGACAATGATCAAAATTCGAGCAGTTCAACAGGCTCTAAATCCCCTCTCACTATGATCCAACATTTCGTGGAAGCATGTAGTGGAAGTAAGTACAAACATTTCAATGTATATAGATAAATGTCGTTCACTCAATATCATGTATAATATTAATAACCATAAATGAATGGACACACGAACTTGTGTCAACACCAATATCAGAAGCTTCGGCAGAATTTTTTTCTTCAGAAAACATTTCCTCTATTAAGGACATGACTCAAAAACTATTAAATAGCTTGGATCAATTGAAAGATCACTTGAAAGATGGTGATTCAATGATTCCTAGTGGGTGCCTATTCAGTTTGGTAGCCTGTTGTGTCGCTGCACTATTGAGGGAAGTCGAAAATAATGCGAAAAAAGAATGGAATGCCTTCTACCAAGACGCCAAACAAACCATTCATGAATTTTATACTCAGTTAACGGGTTCAGTCCTAGAAGCCTTTTCAAAATTGAAAGATCTAACTGTTTCAACTTTTAAAGAAATTCAACAAACCATTTTAAAAACCATGGAATGTGCCAAAGGGTTCACAAAAGAAGTGGTTCACGAGACGGAGCAAATTTCAGAGAGACACTTGTTGGGTTTACTCAACATGGGAAACATTTTGAAAGGTTTGAAAGAGAAGAATTTTTTGACCTCACAATTCGAACAACTTCATGAGGAATTTAAACAAGTATTGAAACACTTTTCAACTTCATTTATTACTGGAATGATACAAAACATGTTAGAACCTGTTGTGAAATTTGCACAAAGCGTTGGTGAAATTGTGAAAGAGTTATTGAGCAGTTCATTGAGTGCCATGATTCAACTCTTCGAGAAATTTATTGAATTGGTCAAGTCCACACCTGACCGAGTGAAGAATATTTTTGATTTTTCGCATCAACATTGTGTGGCTGCTTTGTGCTTGAGCAAACCTCAGGAAATGATTGATGCAGCTGTTGACACTGCCGGAAAATTGCTCTCATCCGTACCTCTGGAAAGCATTGTGAATGCATTAAAAACGTTGAAAGAGTCCGTAGAAAAGCAATTTTCAACAGGAAATGTTGTGAGTGAATGGGCTGATCAATTGAAGGAGGTGGCAAGTGAAATTTCCAATGCCATACATGAACAAGACTCTCTCCTCTCGAAATTGGATGCAAATTTAGATGACATTAAGCAGATTGTTTCCGAGATTGAGGAGAAGGGAATGAATACAGTATTGGACAAGGCCGAACATGTCATAGATAAGGTAACGGATGCTCTTCATGTACCTTCCCCAGTTCCTTTAATCAAAAAGTTCTTTTAAATGAAAATTGTTGACCGTTACAAAAATTTCGCGCCAACAAAAAATCTTTTAAAAAATAGTAACGCACAATGACCACTACCAACACGGAGCAAAACAACATTATGAAATCCGATCTACAGAAAATAAAGGACCTGTTATCGGAATTGGAAAAATCATCGAATGACAACCACACGACGACGGAGGCGCGAGAACCTCTCTTTCAACAATTAGTAGTCTTGTTAAAGAAAAACTCACAAATTATTTTACAATTTGTTTCTGACAAGTTGAGTTTGCTGTTAAAATTACTGGAACATCAAATTCAATTTGGGGAATTGTAGGTAGTTTCGGAATGATATGACAATTTACATGTGATCACACCATCCTCAAAATTATTTCAATAATTCTAATTGCATTCATCATTGACACACAGCTCACCTTCCGCTTACACAAGTTATGGATATTTGGCACATCATGAAACAATATCAAAATTATTCACATCATCCAGTATTCAACAATTCTTTCAAATCATGTTTGAACAAACCAAAATCTCCAAAAAGTCGCTCTCACTCGCCGTGTGGTGTCTCGGAGTTCAACGATTTGTGTCTTCCCATCACTCCAATATTCATAATGCGACAAGCACAACGGCTCTTTCACAACAACAATCATCATCGAATCCTATAGAACCTTTTGCCGCAGAAATTTTCAAATGCATTAGTTATGGAATTAATAATCCGTATCAATCACATACGACCACAACGGAGGCACTCAATACACTTCTTGTGATTATCAATCAACTTCAAGAAGTGAGTGCAAAACATGCCAATGTGTGGCTCGTGGATGTACTTGAAAGTCTAATTTCTCCTCACAAAAAGTATGTTTTGGTGATATAATTATCGAAAAATAGTTTAATTCATGGTATTGCTGAATTTACAAACAAAATTTTAGTATTTGCATTGCTGCAGAAAAAGTGATTGACCTCTTCATATTCAAACAAATGCTTCCTTTTCACAATAATAAGAAATTTCAATTTTCTGAGGAGATTTTGAAAACCATTTCACAAACCTTAATGGACCGTCATGAAAAGATTTATGTAGCTCTCAAACAAAATCTAACTATTTCAATCTACGATTCATCAATCACACTTCCACAGCAACCACTCACATCATCTGCAACAACCACCACTCATAATTCATGGCATTACTTTTTACCCGAATTTTCCAATAGGTATGTTTGTTATGTATTTTACACAATATTGAAAAAAAACTATTGCATTGAAATTTGTTTCTTTTTGTCATGATATACTATAGACAATGTATTATTGCATTGAAAGCATGGGGATTAATTGTATACTTTTTAGGAAAGAATTTAGCCAAAGACAATATTTGCACACAATATCATGAACTGTTAAAATCCAAGCTCTCTATTATACGTACTGTTGATAATGACTCATCACAATCTTCCTCAAGTAATAACACTTCGTTTGCTCAATCCACAAGTCAACCCTCATCATCCACATGGTCGTCACAACGACACAACGAAGCAATTATTGGAGGCATATTATTTTGTGAATGTATCGATTATGCTTGGTCCATGCTCATTCAAACTTTCCAATCCCACAAACCACTCTATTTTCACACTTCGAAAGGAAGACTCTCGTTAATTATGAAACCTCTTTTTGCAGGTTTAAAAGTTCTCGCAAATAGCCCAAATACTACATTGGGACTTGTGGATAAGAGAATTCATGAAATGTGTTATCGTAGAATTATTTTTCAAATTTTGCCAGACGCTGCAAAGAATACTACCTTACTCTTTGAGCTTGTATTGAAGCCGTTTTATGATGCAATTTCATCGAAAGAATTGACCGAGCATGGTGTCAGAGAACAATTAATTTTGTTTTTGAGTCAATGGCTGTACAATGATCAACGAGAGACACTCAAGAAAACAAAGAAGCGAAAAGATTCGCTTTTAGATGACGATAGTGACGATGAATTTAGAGAAAAACGAAAAGATTCACCATCAGAAATGTGTAATAATGATCATAGAGTGGCTCTAAATGATATTTCATTCCTTGTGAAGAAGCAATATTCAAGTTGGTTTGAAGCTCCATGCTTAAAACAAGAAGGAGTATTAATGTGCACTCAGTCCTCTTCTGTGAACAAAATACTTAATACCTCTTCTTCAAATCCATCTGGTAGTGTAGACTACACATTGAGTCCACTTCAAAAGTTGGAATTTATTTTCACAAATTTCAAGTGGATGTTTGAAGGATTTTTAGAAAAGTTATTCAAACGATTTTTAGTATCATTCAAATTGAATTCGACGGAAAATCAAGACATAGCTAATCGATTCTCAAAAGTACTTAATTGCTATTTTCGATCACTATGTCAAGTGGTGGTATCTTACATTCAACATTTTCCTAAAACTTTGAGCGAAGAAGAAAAAGAAAAATATTCCTCACTTGTACGCCAATTAATTTCTCGATTAGCCACATTTTGTTTAGAAAATGTCGTACAAAGTTTTCAACCATTCTCAGAAGTTGATTCTAGTGGAACGATGCTTCAGAATTGGACACAAGAAATGACTCTACTCTTTTTAAAGAGTTTCTTTGAATGTATACCATTGAATACGTTAATGACTGGACACATGAATGGGCACATGGAACACGACCATATGCTTCCGATTACTTTAGATTTGAAGGATATTTTCACCAAAATATTTAAAACAAACGTGGTTGAAAACAGTGAGAAGAAATCACCGTTATTTGCAATACTTCATGGATTATTTGAGATTTCGTTGAGGGGTATTAAGGGAAATTCTGTCAATGTGACCAAAGCTACTGAGATTATTTTTGAAATTCTCTCTGCACTTGCAGATCGGTTGTTTTCTGATTCGTTAGAAATGCCTGACTTGTATTATGATCATACAGTAAGTTTTTCAATAATCAATTTGTAATGTCATTTGCCTGGATAATTTTGAAAATTTCAATTACACAATAGAGAACCTATTTGGAATTAATATTCTCCGAATTACTATTCGTTCAACAAAAGGTCTTTTGTAACATTCCACAGAACACTGTCGAAATGATCTCTCTCACCAAAGTTATTGAATGTCAAATGTTGGCTTGGCAAAAATTTTGCACTCTATTTCGAGATTCCATGCGAATTATTGACTCATGTTTCTCTTTGATGAGTACTTCTTCAGAAGATGATCATCAGTCACGATTTGCCCATACGTCCGCCGAAATCATCCAAAAACGAAAATCTCAAGCACAACAGTTAAAAAACTATCTCGCTAAACATGTCTCTGACGGTCAACGAAGCACATCAGAGTCTAGCTTAACGAGCAAAGCTGTGAAGCCAGAATTTGTGACATGTTTGATGAAGCTGATCTTTTTTCCATTTGATTTGTTGGGATCCTTTCCTAAGTCTACATCTGGGCAACAAAATCAAGAACAATTACCCAATGATATGAAAGATGTTACAAATTTACATTTCACCATAATGAACGATTTATTTTCAAATGATGGTAAATTACTCCACACCCTCAAAGATGTAGTTTTGCTGTATGGAAGTATTTATTCCTCAAGCAATTTACCTCCGTTCAATTACATTAGCAAACATTTGAAAACAACACTTACTCATGCTCATTTGCAACATATTTGCGAGGATTTATCTGATAAGCTTCAATATCAATATGTTTGCATTTTGAGCAATTTGAATGCTGACATGAATGATGGAATGATATCCTCTTCATTTACTAGTATGAGAAATTGGTTTTTGTATGGAACCAAGATACTTTCATTGATATGTACATTATGTCACGAATCTCAACGATTTAAAGGTTCGATTTTAACATCATCTTCAGGAAAAACGGCAGTACATACTTTGCAAAATTTGCTTAAACACTTTGTTTGGATGATATTTGACTATAGAAGGCAACAGCAATATACTCCTCAAACTGAACCACTGTTTTCAAATGTAGTGCAATTAATGACAGAGCTGAAGAAATTACTGTCACTCTCACGGAGCATGCAGCACGCGCTTCAATTTGCAATTGAATACTCTGAAGAAATTCTTTTCGATAAGGACTTTACAAATTTATTTGAATTTAAAGGAGCAATGAAATCCAAGTCAATGCCTTATTCAACTGATGAAATGCTGCAGTTTGCATCTCTCTGTGAAAATATTTGGGAGTGTGTATTTTCTCAGTTGTCCAAATGGGCCACTCAGGACAGTGTCAAATTTGATCAAATTTTATTGAATCAAATGGAAAATATCTTTATTTTAGGAATGAATGGTCAACGTAATTCCAAGTTGAGAAAGGTTACCATTCAATTTTGGAGAAATACTTTTGCAAAAAGCTCGTGTACTTTATCATTATCACAAACCTTGAAAGAAACGTTTTTGAATTTACTGAAATTAAGGGAAATCAATATGGAAGAATTAATGTTTCCTCTTCCTCAAAACACACAAAATACCACCATGCCACTGATTGAAGATGTTCCTACTTCAAAAATTGTTTCACATGGACTTGACGATAAAAAACCAAATGATGACAATTCCACAGATTTGAAGAAACGAAAACGAGGAGTTGATGCAGGTGTCGTCAGCAGTCACTCTTCATCAATGAAACAAAACCAAGCAATCAAAGAGGACTCACAGAAAACTAAAAAGGTTAAACTTACTAAATCACAAAAAGAAAAGTTCAGAGAACGGAAAGAAACACGATTGGTAGTTCCCGAGATGAATCCAAGTTTACTATCTTCGTCCATGCTCTCAACAAGTGACATGAGTGATGATGATGATTATGATGACAATACTCCTCCAATGAACATCACGTTCAACAAGGCAGAACAATCCACAAACCTTGTAAACATTAGTGACATTGTTGCTGATCATCCAAAAAACAACATTTCCAATTTAGATGACAGTTCATTATTGGATATTAAGAAAGATATTGTTCGAATGACACCCGTTAAATCAAACAACAACAAGAATTCTGTTATCGATTTGATTACGCCAGATTATTTGCAAAGACCACCAGCACCTGCTTTGCAATTATCACCCATTCGACTCGAAGAAGATGAAGAAAAGAAAAACACGAGTTCATCAGTGGAAGATTTGTTTGCCAAGTTGGAATCTGGTTGCACTCCACAAAGCAACAAGATGAAGGTATCGAATGAGTCGCTTTCAATTTCCTTCACGGTAGCTTCAGAACCAATCATTCAAAAACAGCAACCCTCTACAAATGATGAAGATAAGTCTACAACAGTATCTCCCTCCACAACTTGTACAAGAAATTATCAAGATGATAATACTCAAATTACACCAATTCTTAAAAAGAGTCCAACAAATCACACTGAACCACTTTCATTATATCACGAAGCAACTGGAGGAATTGTGAAAAAACATGTTCGATTTGAATCTTTACAAGACTCGAATGAAACGAATGAACATCATTCTCCACCTCCTCCTCCAACGAGTAATGTTCGAAACGAATATTTATCAACAACAAGCTCAACATTTATGAAGCAATTGGAATTGTTACACGACATGATTTCAACACACAAAACTTGCATTGGATTGAATAGAGAGGAAAGGAAATTAGCCATTCAAAAAGTATATTCCATGTTAGGATGTTTGTTACAAGAAGATGAATAATCAACTACGAGAAAAACATTGATGAATGATCAACCACGAGGAAAACACACAATGTGATTGTGGTTGGGATAAACACAATGTGATCGTTATGATTGAGATAAACACAATAATATCCACACCACATGTTATTGTCTTGGTTCTCGTTTTAGAGATAATTCATAAAGGTAGTCCTCGTTGAAGGCAGCACTGAAATGGATGGCATTGAGTTTTGTTGACAATTCACCACGTGTAGGAAGATTATAAGGAGTTTTTTGGTACTTTTGAATTTTCTTAATGACCGATGCTAATTGTCTTCTCTTGAAAAAGTTAATTTTGGTACCATCTTTCATGTCACAATTTCCTTCTTCACAAAATGTTAAATCCGACAGAAAAACACCGATATAAGGCAAACTTGGTAGATGAGTGTGTTTCATACATTCTCGCAATGCCTTGAAATTTGACTCGTGAGAAACCAGCTTTGAAAGCTCTTCGAATTGCTGTCGTTTCTTTTCTGTAACCAATTCCCAAGATTTTTTCAATCTAAAGACACTATTCGAGTTGAGTGCCATCATGATTCCTTTAAGTGTGTTAAAGTTGTTCAAATTCCTCAGTTCTTGAGCAATGTTAATAAATTTTTGAATGACGTTGGCTCGTTCTTTGGCATTTTCTGGATTAAGAATATGCAACGAAACAAAGGTTACCATGTGGTTTGTTTTTTGAATTTGAGCGTAAATGTTGGGAGCCATTTTTCGTTGGTTCTCTTTTGACCAAGATTGGTTGAGACATTCCTTCAAGTCCAAAATGTAGATAAGCAGATTAAACCTCAGCTTTTTCAACTTACCTTTGGCTGGATTCTATTGAAAATTTCCATCTCAATCATGGTCAAATGCTTGGCAATTTCAGATGCCTTCTCTATAAGAGGGTTGTCCTCCAACAATTGTTTGGAAATGCTCGAAAACGCTTCTGATTCTGATTTTGAAGTAAAGTTGAAAATAGATGAGATTTTGTTTGTCTTTTTTTGTTTAGGAGATGTCTCCTCGGCGTATTGTCTTTTGAGTAATTCTACTTGTCGTTGTTGCCTCTCGAATTGTTGAATCGTGAATGTATTTCTTTCCTTTCTCTTGTTGTTCCATGATGATCTAATTATTTGCGCTGCTTTTTCCATCTTGGTATTCTCGATCAGTAAAATGAATTTGTCCATTTTGTGTTGAAGTACGGGTTCAGATCGAAAATTGTAAAAATGTTTGTCAATCCAAAAGAATACAATATTGCAAATTTTCAATCTCACATCATACAATTGTGGTTTCCATGTCGAGTGAAAATTATATCGAATATTGAGATTGGGAGGAGGTGCTGTATTGTATCGTGTCATGAGATAGTCCAATAAATCTTCCGATGTTGTAAATGATTTGTAAGTCAATAAAAATGTAAAGACAAAATTATTGTCATGTTCTTCAGGATCAGTCAAGTGTTGAAATAACTTTTGTAATGTAGCAAAATTGACCTCTTGAGTCAATCCATTACTAAATTCAATAAATTCACAAGTATTCTTAATTGGAACATGGGGTGTCAATCCTGATAATGGTTCGTCATAATACTCTTCGACACTATCTGTTGTATCATTTAAATGTTTTTGAATGTCATCCAATATTTTCTTTTTGTCACTCTCTGAAAAGAAAGGTGGTTCAATAATATTCTTAATTTGATCAATCCATAACTGTCTCAAGTGACTTTCATTGGTCATGAACACTTGAGCATTATCTCCTTTAAAATCCTGCAAACAGAATGCATTTTGAAATTCTCCAGAGTTTGGAATGGCTCTCACTGTGATATCATCATGAAATTTTACAATTTTATAAAGTGGAGGTGAGGATGGTATTTGTAGAGCCAAAGGTTGTGAAATTGTGTTAGGAGTGTTTGTTTCAAGTGTCAGTTGTTGTGTCAAACTTCCACTCAAACTATTCACCAAACAACTACTACTCAAACTCTCACTCAATGCAAACACCTCATAGGTGTTATTACTTTTTGCAATCAACACCAATGCATGACTAAACAAATATCCCTCATATTCCACCTGTAAATTTCCTTCTATCAAATGTGTCAAAGTACTCGGACCAAATATGAAACGTAATTCACTCTCGTTTTCATGAATAGCTTTGGCGTGTAGACAAAAATCATCAAATTTGGAATTAATATCTTTGAGAATTTGTTCGGTTTTCGGATCTAGAAATTGTTGTGAAATTTGTTGGAGTGAACCATTCATCATCACCTGAGATGTTGTGGTGTCATCCTCATCACGGTATTCCGATGATGAAGTGGTTGAAGTATTGAGAGTGAAGGATTGAGAGGAGAGAATTGAGAGAGGGGAGTGGATGGCAGCATCTCCATTGTTCAACATGTTGATCGAGGATGCTCTTCGCATTTTTTCTTTGTTCTGTCAAATGTCATTGTGATCATTTTCTCGAAACAATTTAGCAAGACCTAAAGGTGATACTGAGACCGGTTGAAAAAAATGACGTGAGTGGGTTTTACGTTTTAAAGTCCATTGGTTAGAATTATCAAACCACACAACCCAAATTAACACATTTCAAAACGGTTCAACAACTCAATTCTGATTGGATTGGAGAGACAAGAATTTACAGTGCTCCCCATTAAAAAATTTCTCATGTCCACCATGAAAAGAACAGGCCTCAGTCGCATGTTGCAAGGATTAAATTCCCATAGCAACACAACATCGAGCATCATCAATAGCAATCGTTTCAATGTTTTTAATTCTTCTTCAACAATGAAAGCAAACACCTTATTTTTTAATTCGATGCTGAAACATGTTCCGAAGAACAATAACAAATGGTTGAATTGTCCAATAATAACAGCAGCTGAAACAATTGGCCAAATACGTTCCTACACCACCACAAATTGGTATAAGGAAATCGATACTCTAACACTGTCATCCTCCGAGCCAATCACTCTCAATTTTACTGATTACGAGAGTTGGAACGCGCAACAAGTAGCATCAGTGTTCACTTCTCCTAAATCATTGGGTGGTGCTGGTTTGTCGGTTGATGATGTGAAGCCTTTGTATGAGGCTGGTTTTAAAGGCTCATCACTCCACAACATTGTTGAGAATACCAAGAGGGATGGGGTACCGTATGCTGTTGATCAACTTCAAAGTACTTTTTACAAGAGTAGCGCTCCTCAACTCTCCGAAGTACTTGTAAAACTGTTGTATTTTGGGTGCTCGATCAATTAATGACCAGACAATATTCACTATGGCAATTGGAGCCAGTGAGCACAAAAATCAAACAAAAATTGTGCGAACCAATTGCAAAAGGAGGTGCTGATTTGAGTCTGGATCAAGTTTCTTCATTAGATGGCAAAACTCTTTACTCCATTGCAAAAGATGTAGTCTCTTCCAATGGTGAATCATCTGGGGTCATTAGAAATCTTGATATGAATTTGGTTACAACAATTGCTCAGTGGGTCAACCAATTTCTACTACAAAACAATATAATTCAAATTGAACTTCGGAATTTCGACGTTCTTGCTGAATATATTAACCACAAAATTTCTTCCATTTTCGAACATTCTATAGCTACATGGAAAAATAAGACATTGAAAGAAGAGAAACGTCAAAAAGAAATTTTACAAGACTTGTATAAATCTCCTCTCCTTCCAGACCACCTTAACGGGTTCCAAGAACATGATTTTAAGAAATGGACTTCACATTGGGACTCTAAACGAATTCCAGAAAACAAAGGAGAAGAACTCAGAAAATTGCTATCAACAGACGCACCGGTTGGGCGAGGTCATGACTATGGTTACTCGCTTCTTTGCTTTTTAGATTTGACAACATCAGGGAAAACTTATACAATTTTCAATTTGGCTAATTCAACGCCAACTGAAAAGATGTATCAAAAGTTTTTTGTGTTGTACGTGACCTATAAATCAAGGATATTCGATGCATTGGCGTACACTCAACGTGCTCATGTATGCTCACCAGAAGAAGCTGTTTCTTTTCTGGCCTTAGCGAGTCATATAGTCATGAAACATCTTGCAACTCGTCATCCAAACATTACATCCTTAGAATTTCTTCAGTAAGTATAAATTATAACAATATTAATTGAACCACTCAAACCTCGAAGATTTATGAGAGATGGAGGAGAAGAATTGATTGTTGATATTTTTAATGTATTACTTCAGACAAAACCAACATTTGATTCTCAAAGACAAAACGTAAAATACACAGACGAACTACGGGACCTTGGAATTAAGGTTGTTTTTGCTTTTGATGAAGCGAGTAAGCTATTGAAATTGCACCAAACACTGTACCGTTAAGTGATAGCCATAAGAAAAGCTTGTTCCATGCTGTTTACAAGACAATTCACAAATTCAATAATTTGGTCTTTTTAGGGACAACCTACAACATTACCAATGCATCTATTAACATCACAGGCGATGGAAGAGAGTTTGTTAGAACTATTACTGGTACTTTGGATCCATGGTTTTTCGGGAATGTCAAGGAAATGTTGTTTCACAAATTCAATTTAGAAACTTGGGTGAAACAATATCCCAAACTCTTTGATATGATATGCTATTTGTTAGCAGGATCTCCTGACAAGGTTTCATTATTTCATAGACATTTACTCGAATCTAACAAAGAGTCTGTAACTGAAAAATTAATGGACAGCTTAGATCAGGTTGTTATGAGTTACAGGGAGCTGATGAAAGACCGTGTGACAAAGTTTTTAGACGATTCTTCTCTTGTCGATAGATTTGATGTGTTACTGACATTAATTTTTGGACAGGGATTGGTTTTCCGGTCTGAAAATGTTCAGAATAATTGTAAATTTGTCTCTGCCCTTATTGAAAAAACCATTGCTCCTGTTGTCAAGGTTGGACAGAAAAAGCAAATATTTGAAATTATTGATCCAATTGCTTTTGCAACATATTTTACTCATATTTTTGAGAATAATAGACAACTAGTTTGGAATTTTCTTAAAGAAATGATTTGCGTACAAAATGGCAAACCTGCCCTTGGAGATGGCTTTGAAGCGTTTATTGTGTTGTTATTACTTGAAGAAAGCGAGAGGTTACAAAAGTCCCAGCTACCAATGACACAAAGTCCACTCTTTTCAAAGCTAAAGGGAATTGGAGATTTCGATAATTACTATCTTGACCTAAAGACATTCATTAAGAACAAGGTACAAAGTTCTTTAGCCCAAGACACAGGTATACCAGGAGCGTGGTTTTCTTTACTTAATGAAGAATATTTGAGCAGCAATTGGCTATCAACAGCTATTGTTAAACCAAACAATCAAATGAGACCAGATGGAATATTTTTTTTAAAAAGAGGTGAATTAACAAAGCACTCAATTTGCTCACTCTATGCTTGCACGTTAGTTGCAGATCCTGTTTCAGATGTAACACAACCAAACAAAGCCATTCATAGCTTCATGATAACAGATCCCAAAAATATTGGAACAACAAAAAAAGGAGACACCTTTTTGGAAGGGTTAAAAATCGATACACAAGACAATCTAAAACATCTTAACATGGAAGATATGTCTTGCTGGGTTTTGGGTTTGGTTTATTCTGCCAACATTTTGCCCGATTATTGGGTTCAAAAAATTAAAGTAATCTTTATTCAAGTCTTCTACACTTTCCAACTCTCTTGTAGGAAAAATGCGTCGGCACTCAAAAAAATTTTCAAATCGCTCGGAGGTGGTCCCTCAAGGACTCACTCAAGGACAGCAACCAATTCAGCATTTTTGGTAACTCTGAGTGGATACCTAGTGATGATGACTCGTGAATGAAGGATCATTTCAAACTCTCTTGGGTGGGTGATGCTGTGAGAGCTTCCAACTGACACTTGTTATGATGAGGATGATGACGGTTGCATTTGATGTTGAGGTATTTTTTTCAGAGAAATTTTTAAAAAATCTTGGTCAACCAAAGTGTGTGTTTTACAATGAGAGCCGTTCGCACCACATTCCTTACGTTGGATTGCAAGATGCCGAAGGCAGCTGCAATTCAATGAATTGATTCCAACGTCCTTTTTACGAATTGCAAGATGCCGAAGGCATCTGCACCCTCTCAAATTGATGATTATTCCTTTTGACGAATTGCAAGATGTCGAAGACATCTTCACTCTCTCGCAGTGATAATTTTGCGTGGTCCATTCAATTGCTAGATGGTGATGTTGAATTTTATCCAAACACCTCGTTTTATTGGAAGAGGGTTATGACGTTGGAGTGCATCTCTCGTTCATGGTCTTGTTCTGATTTGCTTGTTGCAGTGAAGTAGTGGGTGGATGTTTGAAGGCAGAGATGATTTCATCAAAAAATGCCTCGTTCCCACTTCTCTACAACTATCATCATCAATGATTGATTCATCCATCTTTCAATTTCATACCTCGGAATTGAAGGCACTCCATCCACAGATCATCATCCATGAATTGTATTCATTATCAAGTGTTTGGAATGAATGTTTCTTGAAATTGAAACTGAATGATCAAATTTTGAGTGCTGATCAAGTCTGAACTCGACATTCACTTGACAAGAGTATCACTCCAACGAGTTGTGGTGATCATACCGTCCACAATAACAACAATGATCATGATTGGAGTCATTGATGGAGTTAATTCATTGAATGGGAGTTGTTCGGAAGTTCCGAAGGTGATCCCTATGGTGATACGGTCAAATGAGATCGGCATACCTACTTGACAGATTCTTCAACAACTTGATAGGATTATTGTGCTCGATGAGTATGATACATTCATGCTAGTTGTGCTCACTGAATCATCATGTTTGCACAGTAGTCTCCCACCGATGCAATGAAATTTTCTTTTTCACATCACTGTTCAACAGAGGATGACACTTTTCTGATTGTAATAATATTTTATGATAGTGCATGGTATGATGATGATATACTGTAATTTGTGGGAATTATTAATTTGAGTGGATTTTAATGTCAACCACCTGAGAATACGAAGAATAATTTTATTAATAATTTTTATATTATTTACGGAAGAGTGAAATCAATGGTATATTATGATAGAAGACATTACGAGGAGTATATTGATATGAATTTTATGGATTGAATATGAAAGAGTTGAGCATGGTTGAGCACCTGAGATGACATTGTTGGTGAGGACAATTCGGAGAAGATCTCTCTCATTTCATGTGCATGTACAGTGTTTTTTCAATAAATATACATGTATTTATGATGATGATCATGTTTATGTTGTTTGTTTGAGGAATGATTCAATATTCATGGAGTATGACCCTCATGGAGGAGGATCTTTGTCAATTTTCTTCGACATTGCTGCGAAAAATGAAATTCAATAGAAAAGTCCAGCGAAAATGAGAAATATGTTTCGTTCACAACCAATGTACAATATTAAAGAATGAAACTTTCAGAATTGAAGTTTTTCAGTCAATTGTATCTAATTATTATGTTGAACCGTGTTGTACAATGTTGGATGACTCGATCACATTGAATGTGAATATTCTTCTGTACAGTGCATTCATGAAGAGGAACACCATTTCAGCCATTGCTTGACTTTGAATTGATGATGTGTTGTTCGTGGTGAGTGTTGGTGTTTGTTCATTGTGGAGTATGGCTTGTTGAAAGACTGTTCATTTTTCTTTGACAAGTAGTTGTGAAGTTGATCGTGTGTGTCCGTGAGGGTGATGCTGCTTGGCATGATATTCTCCTGATACTTAAACGTAGAGTGTAAGTGTGTATGAGATCTTTGTAGAGTATTTGTATTGTTTGTGGCATGAACAGTGATGTACCTGTTGAATGAATCAGCTCCTATGTTTGAGAGTCGATTTTTCGCTGGAGGTGGAATATTTTTAAAAAATTTCAAAGTTCAAAACGATAGAAAAGTCAAGCCAAAACTTGAAGTGAGGCTCTATTTCGATAAATACTGATTGATATCATCTTTAATTTAAATATATTGTATAACTCACTGTGTGGAATATTGTTATTAGATTTAAATTGATGAGAATGACTTGTGAAAGAACCATGATCAGAGTGGAAGCAGTGAACATGACAATGTGTGTTGTAGTGAAGAGTACAACCATGAATTTGCTTAAAAAGCAATACTATGTGATGTCGAAGATGTCTACATGATGATGAATCGATTATGTGAGTTGTTCTGTAATATTTTTAAAGACGAAAGCGCTGTACCTATCACCTACTCAAAATCACGAAGAAATTTTTCAAGGGTGAAACGAACATTTGGAGATTTCTCCATGAATAGTTGCTATCAAGGAATGCAATCAGGAATACCCTTGTTTTTGATGTTGTAGAGCTGAACTAACAAGTTAATTTTTGTTGTTGACGTCAAAGATTACATGAGTTGTTGGATATTGTGAGATTTTTCAGAGGACGAAGACAACAAACGATTACGTTGAAGAACACCACAACGTGAAAATGATATGAATGCATCTACATGGTGAGGAGTTGTAAATGAAGAAAATTCTCGAACTGAAGTGATGGATCCATGAAACTGGAGGAGTGCTATCATTCTGAGAAAAATGTTATTGCAATACATGAAAATTTGAAAGTGCTTATTTTTGAGTTATTCTTCGATGTTGTGTCATATGGTGTGATTCTATGAGTTTATGAACAAGATTGACACAATTTACCGTTTCATTCATGAGGCTATTCCTCTTCGACTTGTTCAAAGAGAACCCTACACATGGTGGGAAACATTCTATGTGAATCTTGTCACCATATTCAACCTAATATCATGTAATAGTGTGTTGATGACATGGAACAAGTTGTGAGTAACTATATTTGAAAATACTCCAGATGTCAAAAGTGGTGAACACAACAATGAATCTCAAAATTCAGAAATTAAAAATCCTTGATACTGATATATGTTTGAGATGACTACAAGTTAGACATATTCTGTTAAATTGAATGCTTAACACATATTTTTTCATGAGATGGAGCTGACTCTGTCATTGTTACCTTAGTTGTGTAGGACATGACATGAGTTGTGAGTGATGATCAATGTCATTCTCTCAGTTGTATCTCATCATGGAGAGTAGATTGATATAAATTTTACCAGATGTAGTTTCAAAAAGTTTCATGATGTTGACTTGTATAAATTTTTAGCATAACGAGTTACTCAATGACATAAAGTATTTCAAAAATTTGTCAAAATTTGTCAGTGTTTATGAGACTGTGATGATGTCATGTTGATGTAATTTCAGGAGTCGTACATTGATATTACGAAAGTTATTTCTAAACACTGTTGTGTGAGTTCATGGTGGTGATGTCATCACGAGTGATATGAAAATTTTAAATAAATGACATATTCATGCATACAACACATAAATCTATTGATGATATGAATTGTAGGTGTTGATTTTATTTGTTTGTGTGATGGTGTGAAACATTGTGAAAAAATTGTGATAATATATGTATATATTGATAATGAAGAGTGATGGTATCATGTAATTAACAATAACTGTACTATGACATGAGTGTTACATGGTGGTAAAGTTTTATTCATTGTGTATTTATAGTTGTGGAGTAAATTGAAAAATGGTGATCTGAGTGAGTAAGGGTTATAAAAAATAAACAAAGTCTAAGGTATTGAGGGTTCATAAAAAATGTTTAAGGAAATGAGGGTTGATTAAAATTTATTAAGAGTTTGAGGGTTATTTAATTTTATTAAGATTTTCATAACCTAGATAAGGGTTAATTAAAAAAGATTAAGGATTTTTTAAAATTAACAAACCTTCTTGGTCTTAGTCTCTTTTCATGGGTTTGATGAAAATTCTTGGGTTTGGATAGGTGCCCAGCTTGACTTTGAATCTTAATTTTTCGACATGCTTAACGATGGGATTTTTAATTTTTATGAAATCGTCGGGGATGGAGGTATATCTATGTGTTGATATAACTTTCATCCATTAATTATGGGTAATTATTGAACTGTACTCGCTTAAAGTAGACCTCTCGTGCATGGTCGGGGTTTTCGTCATCTTTGATGTTGAGCTTGATCCAAGCATTTCATTCGATAGATTGTGAAGAGTAGTACATTCGTGCTAGCGACATCATTGGATAGTGAGCTAAGTTGGTTGAGTCGTTCAACAAATGGTAACAGGTGTCAAATTTTTGATAGAATTTAAGCGACACCATTTTTGTAGATCTCACGAAAATAATGGGGGTCATGATAGAGCATTCGATCAGGTTTAGGGTAGTTTTCGAGAAAATCAAGTTTGAAGGAGTTTCAACGAGGTCAAAAATGACATGAAAATTTTTCAAAAAAAAATTAAAAAAAAATGAAGCCAAACTTCCCTGCATTTTTGACAGGATCATCATCAACATCGGGTCATGTTTCCATTCATCATCATGTCATATTCATATTGATCACATCAAATGTGCACATCATGATCAACATTTATGAGGAATATTTTGTGTGTATGAATACACATGGAAATGATAATCATCAAATAGTACTGGTTGGAATTGTAGTGAACTGCTCCCGTTGGATGTGATGATCATGGAATGAATCTGATGATCGGAATGTTGTTACAGTGATCAGAAACCATGGAATTGATCGTTGGTTCAATTCAAAATGATGGTCATTTCATGACTTTGTGTGATGTGAAGTGCGATGGTGGCTCTATGGTAGAGCTGAAAAGTACGATCGAGACAAGTACTTCACAGAACTACATGAAATTGATATGGATGGATGTTCTGATCATTCAAATAACAAATCATCAGTTTTATTGATTGACATGATTGTTTCATGGAATGGGAGCACTTCGCTTTTCTCGGAAAACATCATTTCTTGAGGAAGGGTACAACTCTCCTCTCTTGTTCATGTCATTCATTCTATCACCATTACACGTTGTGATCATCATTGTAGAAGTGTTTCATGTGATTGTGAGTGTTTGAAAGTGATCATGATGAATTGTTGTTGGTATATCTTGTTGTATGATTGAATGATTATTTTATAACAATTGACTGATTCAGTTTTTCGATAAACCAATGATTGCAATGTTGTATAATACATTGTGAAGAGCATTTCTATGACTATTGATGATGGATGTGATCATTATTGGTGGAGTATCATGATGAATGTTGTGGTGGTGTGACACCATGTTTTTCCGAGAGTGAGTGTGCCCTGAACACTACATATCAACATGTTCATCATGATGAGTATGACACATCCATGTTGGTTTCACTCACTGATTCATCAATTTGTGGAAGTGGTGTCTCATTCTTTCAATTCATTTTTCTTTTTCACATGATATTACGATACTGAATAATTTTAAGAATATCACAGTGACTTTATATGATAGTATATAGTGTGATATTGTTATTTTGAAATTTGTGGAATTTATCTATATGAATTGATTTTGTTATGAGGCACATGAGCTGTGTTGAAAATGATTATTAATTAATTTTTGAAGAGTTGTCAGGAGAGTGATACAGATAGTTTTTTATGGTTGCTGGGATGGTGTTCAACACATTGACATTAATTGTTGTATTTGTTCATGTCTAGAATGTATTGTTGTTGAGCACCTGAGAAGATTTCGTTATGAAGTGGATTACTGTATGAGACATTGTTTTTTTCCTAGAGTTGTTGCAATCACCCATGTGTTGATATTGTTCCATTGTGTTATTATTGATTGTGTGGAGTGATGTGGTTCATTGTATGATGGAAGGATTCTGTCAGGTCATGTTTGACACTTTTTCATGGATAGCCTGTGTTGATTTATGATGGCTGCATTGAAAATAAAGAGTTAATTCATTGATTTTCATGATCAGTACATATGAAATGTATGGTGTATGTGGTTGATATGCGTCAATGTTCAAGTCATCTTGATTTTGAATTTTGTCTGGATTTACTGACCCTATACTTCCGCATTTAGAATTTATCCAAAAAAATGTTGTTGTGATTGATCAGTGTTGTTTGATGTTGTGATGACGGAATCATGATTGAAATCATTTGTAGTGATCGTAGATGTGTCTTTCAACCGTATTGGATACGTCTACCATGTTTGTTGTTATCACCAAATGGATGAGTGTTCAAAGTTGTTCTTGGGTTTGGCTCCACCTACTCTTTTTTTTGAGCCATTTTAACGACTTTACTATCAAAAAAAAATTTTGATTTCAATAAGTCCTGTCCACGGTCCGAAGTTAACTGCTGAGGACGAGATATACTCAAATCCTAGGCTAATTTTCATTTGCTTTCTAATGGTGTTGAAATTTCTAAGAGATGTGAAGTGGTTGTTGAGTTATTTCACTCTGAATTTTGAAGGTAAATTGGCCCAAAAAAAAATTTAATGTTGTAAATGAAGAGAGGATGATTATTTATTATCGGACTGGTATTTCAAACTGTAAAACCAGAGAGATGCATGACATTGGAATATAAGGTTTTTGAGGACTTGGAAATTTTTTTTGACAATATTTTGGACTCAACAATTCCAAGTTCAAAATGATAGAGAGGTCCAGCGAAAATATGAAATATAGCTCTTTTTCAATAAATACTGATCAATTGAACCTCAAATTGATATATGAAGTGTTATTCACCATGTAGAACACTAATATTATGCTTGTGTGTCGATGGATGACTCCTGACGTGGAAATGTGGTACTCCTATCCTCTGAGTGTGTCCGTGAGGGTGATGTTGCTTGACATGATATTCTCCTGATAATTAAACGTAGAGTGTAGTGTGTATGAGATATTTGTAGAGTACTTGTATTGTTTGTGACATGAACAGTGATGTATCTGTTGAATGAATCAGCTCCTATGTTGGAGAGTCGGTTTTTCGCTGGTGGGGGAATATTTTTAAAAAATTTCCAAGTTCAAAATGATAGAAAAGTCAAGCCAAAACTTGAAGTGAGGCTCTATTTCGATAAATACTGATTGATATCATCTCTAATTTGAATATGTTGTGTAATTGGGTGAAATATTGTTATTAGATTTAAATTGAAGAAACTGACTTGTGAGGAAGTGCACGTTTCTCTCCAGAGGCTTTTTTCATGATGATCTTTGATTTCTAGGTTACATACTATATATCAACAATTAGGTATTGATGTTATCTAGATGTACATTTTGAAAATTTTAATATTTGTGAAGTAGTTGTTGAGATATTAAGGATCAAAATGAGCTTTCCCGGTCAGATCACGTCAAATGTCCCTCTCGACCAAAATATATAAAATAACGATTCCATTTCTTGGACAGATATTAGGTTTTAATCCATAGAATATGGAGAGAGTTGAATTTTTGGTTGTTACTAAGTAGTTATTGAATTACACTTTAATACTTCTCACCAGTCCGAGAGTTGTTATAACAAATTACCCATTACGATTTAAGGATTACTTTTTTCACGTATTGATAGAGCCTGACCCCTAGAACGTAATCCACATCTCTGTTGAGGAAACTATGAAGTAAGTTTTTATCATGGTCGAGTTAAATCAGGAAAGACGATTTTGAGGGCTAAGGCTTCTTCAAAACAAAAAAATAAAAAAATGCTCAAAATGAATCGGAAGAAGAAATAATCGGATACGACTCTTCTGTTTCTTTGGAGATTGACTGATTCAGCCAGTGATTTCTATGTTGTATAATACATTGTGTAGAGTATTTCTATGACAATTGATGATGGATGTGATCATTATTGGTGGAGTATCATGATGAATGTTGTGGTGGTGTGATACCATGTCCTTCCGAGAGTGAGTTTGTCATGAACAATACACATCAACATGTTCGTCATGATGAGTATGACACATCCATGTTGGTTTCACTCACTGATTCATCAATTTGTGGAAGTGGTGTCTCACTCTTTCAGTTCATTTTTCTTTTTCACATGATATTACGATATTGAGCAATTACAAGAATATCACAGTGATTTTTTATGATTGTGCACACTAGGATACTGTTATTTTGAAATTTGTGGAATTTATCTATATGAGTTGATTTTGTTATGAGGCACATGAGCTGTGTTGAAAATGATTATTAATTAATTTTTGAAGAGTTGTCAGGAGAGTGATGTAGATAGTTTTTTATGGTAGATGAGATGGTGTACAACACATTGATATTAATTGTTGTATTTGTTTATGTCTAGAATGTATTGTTGTTGAGCACCTGAGAAGATTTCGTCATGAAGTGCATTACAATATGAGACATGGTTCTTTCCTTGAGTTGTAGCAATCATTCATGTGTTGATCTTGTTCTATTCTGTTATTATTGATGTTGTGGAGTGTTGTGATTCATTGTGTGATGGAAGGATTCACTTATGTCACATTTGACACTTTTTCATGGATAGCCTGTGCTGATTCATGATGGCTACATTGAAAATAAAGAATTAATTCATTGATTTTCATGATCAGTGCATGTGAAATGTATGGTATATGTGGTTGGTATGCGTCAGTGTTCATGTCACCTTGATTTCGAATTTTGTCTGGATTTACTGACCCTATACTTCCGCATTTAGAATTTATCCAAAAAAATGTTGTTGTTACTGAGCAGTGTTGTTTGGTGTTGTGATGACGGAATCATGATCGAAACCATATGTAGTGATTGTAGATGTGTCCTTCAACCGTATTGGATACGTCTACCATGTTCGTTGTTATCACCAAACTGATGAGTGTTCAAAGTTGTTCATGAAGAGTGATGAGATGAAACATAGTTGTTTGAATGTTCATTCAAGTTGATAAACATGCTTGTCATGATGATGTGATAACGTGATAGTGATTGTGTTGATCCATCTATTGTATTTGTAGAGTAATGTTTCGGTCATTTGAATAAAGTTTGATGTTGTAGTGGATGACAACTTTGTGTTGAATGTTAAATATTCTATCATTGTCATGTAGTAGTTATGTCATAGTGTGAGTCCTATCATTTAGAAGTGTTGTGTATTGTTGTGTGCTTGGTGTGATATGAAACTTTGAAAAAATTGTAACATTTTCTTTATATGATGTGATGATGTTCACTACTCTTTGTGAAATTGATATATCATGTTTGCCATGTATATGACAACATATCTATGAAGTGTTATTGAATGTATATTGATACTTGCTGAGATAATTGATAAATGTTAACTTTGGAGTGTTTGAAAAATTATGGTCTTAGTCTCTTTACATGGGTTTGATACAATTCTACTCTTTGGGTTTACTCTTTGGGTTTACTCTTTGGGTTTACTCTTTGGGTTTACTCTTTGGGTTTACTCTTTGGGTTTACTCTTTGGGTTTACTCTTTGGGTTTACTCTTTGGGTTTACTCTTTGGGTTTGGGTTTGGGTTTGGGTTTGGGTTTGGGTTTGGGTTTGGGTTTGGGTTTGGGTTTGGGTTTGGGTTTGGGTTTGGGTTTGGGTTTGGGTTTGGGTTTGGGTTTGGGTTTGGGTTTGGGTTTGGGTTTGGGTTTGGGTTTGGGTTTGGGTTTGGGTTTGGGTTTGGGTTTGGGTTTGGGTTTGGGTTTGGGTTTGGGTTTGGGTTTGGGTTTGGGTTTGGGTTTGGGTTTGGGTTTGGGTTTGGGTTTGGGTTTGGGTTTGGGTTTGGGTTTGGGTTTGGGTTTGGGTTTGGGTTTGGGTTTGGGTTTGGGTTTGGGTTTGGGTTTGGGT